TATTGGAAATAAAAGCAAAAATAAACAAATGGGACCTAATGAAACTTAAAAGCTTTTGCACAACAAAGGAAACTATAAGTAAGGTGAAAAGACAGCCCTCAGAATGGGAGAAAATAATAGCAAACGAAGCAACAGACAAAGGATTAATCTCAAAAATATACAAGCAACTCCTGCAGCTCAATTCCAGAAAAATAAATGACCCAATCAAAAAATGGGCCAAAGAACTAAACAGACATTTCTCCAAGGAAGACATACAGATGGCTAACAAACACATGAAAAGATGCTCAACATCACTCATTATCAGAGAAATGCAAATCAAAACCACAATGAGGTACCATTACACACCAGTCAGGATGGCTGCTATCCAAAAGTCTACAAGCAATAAATGCTGGAGAGGGTGTGGAGAAAAGGGAACCCTCTTACACTGTTGGTGGGAATGCAAACTAGTACAGCTGCTATGGAGAACAGTGTGGAGATTTCTTAAAAACCTGGAAATAGAACTGCCATATGACCCAGCAATCCCACTTCTGGGCATACACACCGAGGAAACCATATCTGAAAGAGACACATGCACCCCGATGTTCATCGCAGCACTGTTTATAACAGCCAGGACATGGAAGCAACCTAGATGTCCATCAGCAGACGAATGGACAAGGAAGCTGTGGTACATATACACCATGGGATATTACTCAGCCATTAAAAAGAATTCATTTGAATCAGTTCTAATGAGATGGATGAAACTGGAGCCCATTATACAGAGTGAAATAAGTCAGAAAGATAAAGACCAATACAGTATACTAACACATATATATGGAATTTAGGTAGTTCAGATTAAAGTGTGAATACGTTTAGAAGACTCATGGATGTCAGTTTCAAACTAGCTGTTAAGGAAAATAAACAACTCATTTTTGGTGTTTGGCCCCAACCTTTGAAGCTAATTTGGAGGAAGGTACAGTATTCTGGCCTGGAGAATCCCATGGACAGAGGAGCCTAATGGGGTCACGAAGAGCCAGACATGACTGAGCGTCTGCTCACACATGCACACTCACAATCCCTCCCTTTCACCGCTGTCCTTCAGTGGCAAATCACAAACAGAATACAATTTGTTTGTCCCTGTGTGGATGGCTTATGATGATTATATGCATCATCCTTCTTCCCAATCCCGGGTTGTAGGATCTGCGATGTCTATAAAGAATGGCCTTCTGATATGAGCTCATGCCCCAGGAAATGTTGGTTCCCCAAGAGACGACCTGGAGCCAGGACATGGAAGCAACCTAGATATCCATCAGCAGACGAATGGATAAGGAAGCTGTGGTACATATACACCATAGGATATTACTCAGCCATTAAAAAGAATTCATTTGAATCAGTTCTAATGAGATGGATGAAACTGGAGCCCGTTATACAGAGTGAAGTAAGCCAGAAAGATAAAGAACATTACAGCATACTAACACATATATATGGAATTTAGAAAGATGGTAATGATAACCCTATATGCAAAACAGAAAAAGAGACACAGATGTACAGAACAGACTTTTGGACTCTGTGGGAGAAGGCGAGGGTGGGATGTTTCGAGAGAACAGCATCGAAACATGTATATTATCTAGGGTGAAACAGATCACCAGCCCAGGTTGGATGCATGAGACAAGTGCTCAGGCCTGGTGCACTGGGAAGACCCAGAGGGACTGGGTAGAGAGGGAGGTGGGAGGGGGGATCGGGATGGGGAATACATGTAACTCCATGGCTGATTCATGTCAGTATATGGCAAAACCCACTACAATATTGTAAAGTAATTAGCCTCCAACTAATAAAAATAAATGGAAAAAATAAAATAAAAATTAAAAAAGACTGACTTTCCTAGTGGTCCAGTGGTTAAGAATCTGCACTTCCATTGCAGGGGGCACAGGATCCATCCTTGGTTGAGGAACTAAGATCCCACATACATGTGGTGTGGCCGAAATAAAGAAGAAAAGAGATAATCTTGCCCTTAGGGTCAGGGCAGAGGAAGAGTTAAAGAGGAAAATGGTGAGTGCCTAACAGTTACTGAGTGTGGACAAATGGGTGTGTGCTAAGGAACTCAAGTTCTCTTCATTCCCTTCCGAATCTGGTTTGACAGCTATAACAATATGCTACCATCAGTCCTAGAAACTGGGGGAAAACATCTAATTTCACATTTATATGATAGTTAAACTTCCCCCAATAAAAAGTGAAATGTAACTTCTTAGCTTGAGAAAACTGCATATAATGTAGAAATAACCTTATATCAAAATCAAGATTTAACATGGTAGACATCCATACGCTAGTTTGCTAAGATCGTGGGGACTGTGATCTATCCACAGCCAGTGCCTGACAGTCAGTATGCATCGGTGCTGCCACGCTGTCCAGACTGTTTGAAAAGAATCAGTGTCATCAGCATCACTTCTGATAAGGGGCGCCACCAGGCTGCAGAAAGATGTTACGCAGAGCAGGAGTCTCAGCTGCTAGACAAGCTGGGGGATAAAGCTCATATCTGGGGTTTCTTCTCAACCTAAAGGCTCTGGCTTTTCCTCTGACATCCTTTGGTGGAGCCTGGGTGTTGGGGGAGAGATAAAGGGGTCCAGGCTGCTTTTAAAAAAGCACTTGAAGTTCTTGATCCTCTGTTAACCTTTTGAAGCAGTTATTCACATAAAAAGAATCTTAAAAACTTTAGAGCTATTAATCATGACGAACTCTGCAGCAGTCCTAAGATGTAAAATTTGGTCCACATGTAAATGTAAACACAGAAGTGTGTTTCTGTGCCCAGAAGAAAGACTTATTTGCAGAAATACCTCATCTTACCTTTTCCTTGTCAGATTTTTCTCTTTTTTTCATCCTTCTGTTTTGGAATACTAGTGGGAAGTTGGTATGTAGCTGTCCATTTCTCCTTTCCCCTTGGACCAAAGGTTTAGACATTTTCTGTGTCACACTAAATGAAAACAATTATCTTTCAATCTCTTGCAAATTGGCTCTTTGTGTTTTGATGACCAGACTTTTGTGTTTTGAGGATCTGATGTGGCAGAGATTGTAAACAGACAATCTCAAAACTCAGTGTCCATTCTCTCCCTTCTCAGTAACCGAATCCTGAACTTATTTGGGAAAGCCATGCTCATAGCTAGAAAGGTAAGTTTCCCCAGCCTCTCTGGCAGTTGAATGTGTCCAAGTAACCTGATGTTGGTCAATGAGGTAAAAGTGGAAGGCTGAATTACACCTCTAGAAGGTCCTTACTAGAGAGGGAGTGAGATCTTCTGCCCTGTTATTCTTTTTTCCAAATGGAAAGCAAATGTAACGACTGGAGCCCCATCAGTCACTGCGGACCAGGCAGTTATCTTGAGAAGTAAGCCAGATGACAGAAGGAACACAAGTCACTGATACCATGGAGTTCTCTGCCAGCCTGGATTTCTATCTCCAGATTTCTTTTACATAAGAGATAAGTAAATCTCTATTTTTATAAGACATTTATCATATACAGCTGGACCTAATCACAGCAGATACACTTGGGAAACTGTTGAAGGCACCACTTTGAAACATTAAGCATTTGGTGTACTAAATAGCAAACACATCTACAATGCAATTAGCAATGCCAACAGCTTAGTCTTTAAAAGCTCTGAGTGACATTGTATGCAGACATGGCTTGTTATCAAGCAAATCCAGGGAAATGTGTCTGTTAGGCTCAGGTTTTATGTCAAATAATAACCAAATGGAGCAATGACATTATGACAATCTCTATAAATATATATGATATTATTGTCATTTAACCAGTGGGCAAATAGGATATACTACTTGTCCCAGGTTACAAAGCTGGAAATCCAAGCAAAGTGAGTCAGATTTCAGAGTTTGTGTTATGAAACACCATAATAGGAATCCTCCATATTTACATTTTTCTAAATAGTCTTGACCATCCCCTAAATTCTCCATTGAGCATGTCAAAATGGCTGAAACCCGGGCAGGGCTATTCATCCTTAAAGTAAGGGCTGCACAGGTAGTCATGGCATCGAGGGTTTGACCTCCAGGGACAGAGTCAAAGTCATTCTTGGCAAATCAACCTAGTCTCCCCTTCAGCTGTAATTTAATAGTCTATCTCTTTAAATTGAAAGAAAACATCAAGGGTCATTAATGCTCAGTCTGGGAAAATTAGAAGCACTATTGAGTTAAGACACACAGACACATATGTCATTATTGTTTAATCACAATCAGACATTACATGGCACAAAACACTCCGTCTATCTCTTTGCTGTTCCAAATCTCACGAACTTAAAAACCTGAATTTGACACAAGCAGTTTAAAGAATTCTTCTGACCAAACTCCCCACTCCCAAAGGAGATGAAAAAGTAATAATGTAAAAAAGTTAAGGTCAAGGTGGCCTGATATCACAGCTAATGACTAACCATTTGTCTACAGGCGGTTCCTGATCCACCCTGAAAGCTGCCAAGCTCCACTCTGTCCAACAAGTGGTTAGTGATCGGTTCCCTGGATGATTGTCCCTGAAGGTAAGCCATGCTCTGGGGGGTACATTAGGCACTTTAAGTGGGGGTAGTTACCTTTCCCTGATTGGGTATAATGTTTGGCTCTCAAAAAGCAAGGTAAGGAATTTTACACTCAGACAGAATGTCTTGTGACTCTCTGCCCCTGGGATTAAGCGCTGGGATTCCAGGGCGTTCTCAAGAATACCTGCACCATACTTTCTGCAGGAGCTGTGCGGGCTGGCCAGCAGGGCATCTAAGGTCTGCCTGTTCTGTGGACACCACCACAGTGGTCCACTCTGACTTAGTCTCTTATCTTGAGTCTTAGCCCATCTAGGCGGTGGTACGCTCCATAGTGAACAAGCAGCGTGGCACTGATGCTCACACCCATCAGAACTGGCGCTGGGTGTCAACCCCTGGAAGGCTGCAGCCGCATATGCTGCATTTATCAGCTCTGGGTTTTAGGAGCAAACCCAGCCCCGTGTGACCAGATCGTCACTAGCTTATTTAGAATCCCCTCCCCTACTCAGCTTCATCCACCTCTTCCCCAGCAGTAGCTGCTTCTAAGGCCGCGAGGGCTTCGGCCACCTCCGCGTCCTCATCCGCCGTCTCCCAGCTCCCGTCTCCGGCGGAGCCAGGGGCCTCCTCCCACCCGTTTCTCGAATCGACCACAGGCACGTCCTGAGCAGGATCGTCTTTGTCAAAGCAGACACTTGGGAGTTCGGTTGTCACGGCCTCGTTTAATGAATCCCAGCTTCTCTTTACGGAGAAGGGCATATTCACACCACACTCCCCTGCCGGGGCGTGATCACCCTCCTGGGGCTCCTTCTCAGAGTGGATCTTGAAAAGACGGCCCTTCTCTTGGTGATCAACGTGATCAGCGTTGTCTTCAGCTGAGCCCCAAAGCTGAGGGTAGTCCGGGGTGGGTGTCTGGAGGACATGGGCTGGGACTTCCCAAGCAGCAAACCCGGCCATGGATGGCGCGCCGGAGCCCCCATTCCCGATGACCTGCTTCTCTCCCGAGGCTAGCTGCATGCAGTCCAGCTCCCTGGCACTCCCTCCTTCAAGGAAGGGCTGGGTCGGGTGACCTTTGTTTGCAGCACTGGCCCAGGAGTCCCTGTCCCCCTGAGGGGGCCCCGGCTCACCGGTGAGCGGCAGGACAGCAGCGGGGCCGAGGCCATTGATGGCCCCGCCAGTCTTCTCGGCACACGGTCCCCCCACCGCATCCCCCAAGAGGAGTGGTCCTCGGGGCGGCCCGCAGGGCTCCTGCGGAGCGGCTGTTCCGCTCCCGCTTGCAGTTCTCTTGGAGCCCTCGTTCGGAGGGTCACCCTTGTGCACCAGGATTTCGCTGCCCTGTCTGTCTTTCAATTTAAGAGTGTCCTCTTCATCTAACTTGCAGCTGTTTACTTCGTTAACGTAACCAGGGGAGGGCACGTGAACCGGATCGAAGAGATAGCTAGGATGAGAAGAAGGAAGATCAGTCAAATATTAACTTTATTAATAACTAACTTTCATTATTAATATTTCTTCTGCAGGCTCGGCTGCTGCTCTGTGGTTTTGGTTAACTTCATTTCCATGGTTACTCTTTTAAGCCTATATGTGCGCCTAGTTAAATAGATATTGGATATGAATCTGAGCAAACTTTGGGAGATAGTGAAGGACAGGGAAGCCTGGCATCCTGCAGTACATGGGGTGGCAAAGAGTCCGACAGGACTTAGTGACTCAACAGCAACAATTAAATAGATACACTTGGTATAGAAGTGGTCTACCAACTGGAAACAGATCTTAAGAAAGGGTTACAAAAAGGGCAGAAAGAAGGTAAAGAACAAAGTGGGTCATGAAATTGAAAAACAAACAAAAAGTAAATAAATAAAATAAATGTTCAACAATAGGAAAATAAGTGGTTAAGAACTGATGGCACAACATTAATATTACTGGGGTGATTTATTTTCAGTGATGCCATTTCAGGCATAGCAATTATGAAGTCTGGACTAGCATGAAACTTACTCACAATAAATACTTTTGAATGGCACCTAACATTAAATTATAACTATAGTGACAAAAATGATATATGTATGTAGGTATGTATATATCGATACCTATTTATGCATAACACATAGATACAGATATGGAATAGAACATAATAAAGATAGTTTTGTTATGGAAGCAAAATGATCAGTTAATTTCCCCCCTTTATTTTATATAGAATTATATTAATGTTGCCCAAATTTTTATGAAATAGAATCTGGACAAAATTAAAAGCATATACATGACTGGGGTGATTTATTTTCAGTGTTACCATTTCAGGCATCTTCTAAAACCCAAGCTTTTCTTTGCACTGAAACTCTCTGGAGAAATGTAAATTTAACCCAAACCAAATTCAGCCTCAGAGAATGACTGCTCCCAACATGCTCGGAGCACTGCACAAAAAATTTTTACAAATCCAGCCCCCGTGTTCTTTTAAATAATATTAATGTGGTTCCAAACTCTTAACTTCCTGGCAATGCTAGTCATGCCCCAAGCTGGAAAATGGCATTGAATCCATGCAGGATGTTTAACAATGCCTTTGTGGTAGTCACAAATGTCTCCATTTTTTCAACTTTACCTTTGTATCATTTTACAGCACCTGCACCCCATCTGGATTATTTTTTGTTGTCATCTGGGAAAAAAAGAGAAAAGAGTGAATGACATTTTGTTTTATTTTTTCTAATAATTGTTGGTTTCATTGTAGGAAGACATTGGTTTCTTTGCAGTCAGAATGAAGGAGCTGCACAATTTAATTCTACATAAATGACTGAATATAAAAAGTATCAAATATAAACAGTAGTGTAACAAGAAAATAAATTGACAGAAATAATTATTCAACTACTAGCAATAATTAAGACTACCATTTGAAAGATCTTCTATAAACAAAGAATGAAAAAATACTGTCATAAGATTTTATAGCACACAGTTGTATTCCATCCTAATTCATTACTATTATAGTTCCTTCTTTTTCAGTATTAGTGAACCCATATCATAGCCTGTCAATTCACTGTGTTTATTTTGTGAAGCATCACAGGCAAAAAAATGTCTTAGAACGCCAACACCTACAGTAAGCTGCTTTAGTAAGACAGAAATCTTCAATGTTTATTTCACCCACCACTTTGGGATTTTCCTTTTGTATTTTAAGATTAATCAAGTTATCCTTCTTTCCTTTTTCTTCAGGAGGAATGGACAAACTGTAAGGTAGCCACGTAGTCAAAGTATACCAAGGAAGGGCAATAATCAAAGCCACTCTGAACCTGTGAGCCGGGGGAACCAGGTAATGGTCTCAGGGCTGAGAGCTGTTTAAGATATCAGGGAAGCTGAACCTTCACAGAGGCTTCCCAGGTGGCTCAGTGGTAAGGAATCCATCTGTCAGTGCAGGAGATGGCAGCACCAACCCTAGGTCGGGAAGATCTGCTCTTGGACGAAATGGCAACCCACTCCAGTATTCTTGCCTGGAGAATCCCCTGGACAGAGGGGCCTGGCGGGCTGTAGCCCATAGGCTCGCAGAGTCGGACACGACGGAGCACATCTGCAGGCGGGCAGGCACCTCCAGCATGCGGGCTTTGCTCGGCAGCCCCATCCTGGCCAGAGACTTCTGCCCCGCTCTGGCTGAGAGTGGAGACGGCTAGCTGCAGGCACTTGCAGTCTGGGCTGGGCCAGGGCAGCTGAGTGAGATTTCAATAGGAATTGTTTGCTTTTTCTTTCCCAGATCCTCAAAGTCAGTAGAGTTACAGTCTTTGGAAAAGGATTCCATGTGAGCAGGGAGGGCACTGGTTACCTGGAATACCTTCACATATCTAAAATCACCGATTCAGTACTCGAAAACATTCATTGCCACTTGTCTCTGTGCCAGACGTTTCCCTGACTCTGGGAGTTATATATGTCATCTCCATTTTGTAAATGAGGAAAAACAGGTTGACCAATGCCAGAGAGAGAAAGGTGGACTTGAAAAGGACCTGTGTGTCTTCTTCCATTGCCTTTTCCATGGGACTTGGACTTAACCAGGGTGTTAAGCCCTGGCGCAGCAGCAGGCGGAATAAGAGAGCAGAGAGGCTTCCTTGCCCAGGGGTTTCAGTACTAGAGAGGATGTCCTGGGCTTCCCAGGTGGTGCTAGTGGTAAAGAACCAGCCTACCAATGCAGGCGATGTAAGAGATGTGGGTTTGATCCCCTGGGTCAGGAAAATCCCCTGGAGGGCATGGCAACCCACTCCAGTATTCTTGCCTGGAGAATCCCACGGACAGAGGAGCCTGGGGGGCTATGGTCCATGGGGCTGCAAAGACTAGAACACCGCTGAAGCGACTCAGCACAGCACTAGAGGACGTCAGGATAGGGCAGTTGATCCCGGTTACAGACCCATGTTCCATGTTACAGACCCAAGGAGGTTGCAGGCGAGCCATCATCACATGCTTTATGTGGGCTAACCTGCTCCTTTTTGCCTTTCCCATCACAAGGCATGGACTCCACTGTCTGCAGTTCAAAGACACACCCCTTTGGGCTTCCTGGTGGAAGATGGAGTTACGTCTGTGCTTCTTTCATTTCCCACCTGCCCTCTGTCCTCTGCCTGTTCCCAAGTTACATTTTTTCCCTCAAGATTGCCCTTTGAATGAAACCCTCTCTTCATGTAAAAACCAACCATGCTGTTCTGGTCTTTTCCCTGAAGATCCTAGAAACCAGCATGGAAGAATCTTTAAGTCATCCTCCGTGTCTAATAGTTACCAACTTGAAGAAGGCAAGTCAGTGACAGAATTGAAAGCCGCAGTCCCTTTGTCTCCGTAAGATGCGCATGCTAGAGAGAGAGGGATCACTTACTGGTTTTATTTTGTGGTTTTGGTTTTTTTTTCCTTCTATTTTTGGGCCTTGCCACTCAGCATGCAGGATCTTTGCTCCTTGACCAGGGATCAAACCTGTGCCCCCTGCAGCGGAAGCCGGCCTGGTGTCTGAGCCACTGGACTCGGGGAAGTCTCAGGAATCATGTCACTGCCTTCTCTGTTCCCTCTCCTTCCTTCTTTCAGTCATGAATGGATTTCCCAGGATTCTACTTCATAAGCCTCCAACCACAGAGAAAATGACCAATACCATTTAACAGGTATAGATTAGCTGGTTGATAAATCTAGAGGGAAGTAGTTTTACACCACCTCCCTCCCCAAAGATATCCAGCATCCACATCCTAATCTCTGAAACTTGTGACTGCTACCGCATATGACCAAAAAAAAAAAAAAAAAAAAGTCTGTGCACATGTGATTACAGATTTGACATGAGAAGACTGTCTGGATGGTCTGGTTCTGGCTCCAGCTCTGCTCTGTGACTCTGGGCCTCAGCTATTTCATCTGTAAATGGGGATAATGATGTGTCTACTACATAGCATTGTTGGGGATTATATGAGTTAACATTCATAATAAGCATATACTTATTACTCAGCTCTGTCTGGATACAGCATGTTTTAAAAAAAAAAGAAGCTTTTCACCTAAGGAAGAAGTACTCTAGTTGCCATGACATATGCATACAAACAAGAGCATTAACAGTACCAAGTTATACCTGTTTCCAGAACAAGGACCAAATGGTGTATTTCTACCAACAGTGGCAACAGAAGAAAGAACGAGAGGCTGGTCTCGAGCAACACCTCGTTTTCCCAGGGTCTCCGAGGCTGACCAAGGTCGACCTGACCGCACTCTCTGCCACTGTGGCTCTGGCCACACTCTCAGCCATGCCGGGAAGCGAGCTGGCTGCTGAGATTTAACTTCTCCGCGTCTCAGAGAACCGACCAGTCACCTGCGCCTTTCTCGCTACCCGTCCCGCCCCGCCCATCTCCCTGGAAAACCAGAGGATCTCTGTTTTTCTTCAAAGCCCTGTAATATAGCAGGTGTTCGGATGCTGCTCCCCGGCCCCCTCCCGCTCCCCCGCCTCCCTGTAGGGGGCGCCCTCGGGTTTCCTACAGGCCTGGTCCTGTACCCGAGGGCCAAGCTCTGCGCCTCTCCCGGCCGGTGCCTCTTCCTGGCTAGGGGTCCCGCCCTGGCTCCCACTGCCCTCCTGCTTCCTTCCCCGGCGACATTCCTCCTCTCGGTGAGACAGGCGCTAAGGCCCAGGGTTGAGTGACTGCTGACGAAAAGGGTGGGGACTACTGCAGGTACACCCACCCCTGCCTGCCTGTGTCTACAAGGAGTCTTCCACATATGATGATGCCTAACACCAGTTCTGATTTATTTCTCTTTTCATGTGTCACTCCCACCCCTATATCTTGCTTTTACTGGGGTCTCCATTTCCAGGTGGCAAAAAGGAAATAGTCCACGTCCATTTCCCATGGAAATGGGGGGGGGGAAAAATGCTCTTTTGAAGTAAGACTGAGTTCAAAACGGGCAGTTTGTCTTCTGTCCCTTCCCTGTCACTGTGACAACAGCTGGGTCAGAGGTGAGAACTCAGTTGTCCAGTGCCCTTTATTATGGAGCAGAATCAGAACTTGCTTTGTCTTTGGAGTATAAAAGAGCAACAGAGAAAAGCAAAGGGCAAAGCAGCCATCATCTGGTTTCCATAGGAGAAAAGCAAACACCATTAGGATGGTGTGTCCACCTAATGTCCACCTTCGGTGCCTGACCCTTCTGGAGTCCTGTGTCGGAGGCTGACTCTTGTCCTGTGTTTACTGTTGAAATTAAAGAGTCATGTATTTGAAGACGGTCATGCAAAGACCCGATCAGTTACTAGTCAAGTGTTCTTGCTGGAAAACCGGTTTCACAAGGGGGTTGGTGATGGAGGTGGGGAGAAATGAGGAGGCCAGGGGTGGGAGGGTAAGGGGCACAGGAGTTGTGCAACCAGGCAGAGAAATTAACTGAGCATTCATCAGGAAGTCAAGGAATATAGAAAAAGGCTCAACTCAGCTGGAAAGGGCTGCCTTTGAATAGTGATGATCTTAAAGAATGACACACACAGGTCAAACTGACACAGGGCCAGCTTGTAGGCATCCTACTGGCCAAATCTGGAACAATGGGAGCATCACAGTAAGCACAGACATAAAGGAGTATAATACACTGAATAAAACAAGGATCTGTGAATCCTCAGGATATAAATCTAAAAAAGGGAGAGCTCTGACTTACAAGTAGAAAGCCTGCTAACAAACAGAATTATAGAAATCACCATTAGACAACCGTCACAGTAATAATTGACTCAAGCAAGAATCATCAACAGATGTTTAGACCAGTGGGTAAAAACCTTAAGAGAACGGGATATTTAATCCCAAGTATTGGCACTGGCCAAAAAGTTTATTTAGGTTTCTCATAACATCATACCAATGAACTTGTTTGGCCAGCCCCAATAGCTCCCCTATTATATGCATGGGGTAAAATAGTATCCTTACAGTGGAGAAACCTGGGTCAGAGCACCAAAATCAAATAACCAAGGGTAATACTGTGAGTAAGAGTAATACTGTGAGACTAGTCAATACCCTCCGAGCTGGTGCGCTGAGAACTTGGCATCACTGCTGTGATTTTTCTGTCAAAGAGTATAATCTGGATCGAAGCAGGAGGCAACATCAGTCAAACACAACTTAAGGGGTATTTTGCCCAACAGCTGGTCTGTACTGTTTCAAAAATGCAACTTTAGGGGAAAAAAACAAAGA